GTGAAATGCTCATGGTACACTGCATGGTACCCAGGAGGCATTCTAACTACAGAGCTCTATACCTTTCCTTTCCATTCATTAAGCAGTTATCCGGTATGTGCATAGTGCTGACGTATCTTGGCATTGGCTAGCCAATTATCCAGAGCATCCCAGCATGCATGCAAAGAAAACTGCTCAGTGAGAATGGCCGTCTTTGTAAGGAGAGTGTAGGGCTGGCTCTCTGCCTGGGATGCAGGGGTCAGTGGGGCTGCCGCCAGCTGTCTACAGTGTTAGCCAGGGAAATCAACTCACAGTCCTCCTGGCACCTACTGCTGGACTTGGGTAAACATAATTACAGCCTTTAAAAAGAGAAGAGGGAAAGCAACCAAGATCCCCACTCACCATGTAAACAGGATGTCCACTGAATGGCAGCCTGGAGATGTTTATGTTCTGTTCAGGGCACAATTGACAAAAGGCCTCTGGGAGCCTTTATTGCTGCCCGGGGCAGTGGTCTGCCAGCAGTGGTGGGGCTTGGGTTCTTCTGGGCTTTGTGTGATTGTGAATGCTGAGCTTCAGCTGAGAGCTCTAAGGCTGTGTTGTCTGTAGCTGGCATGCAGTCCTTTGAGATTCTGGGTCTGTTGCCTGCCAAAGGCCCTTTATACAGATAAGGTCATTCTGATATCCAATGCACAGTTTCAAGCAGGCTCCAGTGACCTATGAAATAATGATCTTAACAATAGCCACCACTTAGAGCAAGGCAGTGGATTAAATACTTCACACAGGTGATCTGATTTACCCCTGGTGATGTAACTGGGTTTTTTCTTGGGTGCTGGTGAGGCACAGCTCCCCTGAGAGAATGTTGTGGGTTCTTGGCCTCCCATCTCTTAAAGAATAAGTGATGGGACCACTGCCGGTGTGCTGTATGCTTGTAAAAGTAAATATTGGATCCAAGAAGGGTTGCAGAAAGGTGAATTTATTTAGGTAGAGAAAAGAGAAGGAAAGGAGAAGAAGAGAAAGACTTCCATGAAGAGTATGGAAGGGGATTCCAGAGGGGAAATCCCAGAGGGGAAAGGGAACTCCCACTATGTGGGAGGGGATTCCAGAGAGCTGAAAATCCGGCGTGGGTGAAGGAGCAGGGGAATTTATCCTGGGAGACATTCCCACCTTCCCAAGTTCCTGTGGCCAATGAAAGGAGTTCCTTTAAACTTCCGCTGGGGTGATTGACTCTTAGTGTCTTTCCCCATGCGTGAAATTCAAACATAAACCGTTAAATCTCCCTGATGGAGAGAGATGAGAGGGAAATTCTTGCCCTTAAAACTACGCCCCCTCATGAACCCGGAAAGGGAACACATTCCCTCTGTGATAACCCTTTGCATAATTTTATTGTCCTCATTTTATTGCTGAGGAGGCTCTGTAAAGGTAAGCCACTGATTTGAAGTCAGATCAGCTGGATCCTCAAACCTGAGCTTAATATTAAGATAGGTGAAGGCAGGGACTATCTGTCAAGTTCAGCTATCTCTAGGGCCCAGCATGTGTCTGAGAAAATATTTATTGACTAAATGAATAAAATAAAAATTCTACCACAATGATATCCTCCACTGACTTTCTGCAGCACACATTATTTTTTCCCCCAAGTGAGATTGTGTTGCACCATTTGTTCCACATGTCCCTGGTTCCACCGCAGTAACCCAGGGCACACATTGGTCAATGTTGACTGCTGTCAAGTCTTGTGTACAGACTGAAGCATAAAGGCTGTGGAGTAATAGGACGCATGTCTAACCAATAAGCCAAATCCTGCTTTAGTTCAGTTTTCTCTGGAATTTTAGGCAAGGAAAACATCTTTTGGGGCCATTGAACCTAGCTTGTTCCTGAATGAGCAGAAACAGTGAAAGTGGACATTTGTCTCAGTTGAAATCCTTGGAGAGCAGTTTTGCAGCCCCTTTTCCGGGACACAGACGGGTTTGAGTGGAGTTGTGGAGATAGCCTGAGCAGGTTTCTCAGAAATGTCAGGAGGTGGTCCCTCTACCTTTAGAATTCCCAATATAATTGGCCAAGACTTAAGCGGAAGGGAAGAGTCAGGCTTGTTTGCAGAAAGAACTAGGGCACTGACATGGCAACTTCAGAATAAAGCATGGCCCTTCTCTAAAGTCTGAACTTTTAGATCAGAGGGAGACCCAGCCTTCAGCCTTTCCCTTCTCCATTCAGGTCTCCTTGTGGGGAGACAATGAGGGGTGGCAGGAACTCCCCTGAAATAGAACTGAGGTGCCTGGAGCTGAGGCCATAATTACCTCAGTATTGCTAGCATGTCACAGTCAAGAGCAGGTAGTCGTTTTTAAATGGTCCAAGTTGTAGGAATATAAAATGGAAAATAAAAAGCGTTCCAAAGACTGCCCAGATTGGTGGTGTTTGTGTCGTTTGGATGATGGTAAGATACTGGCAATGAAGAGGTATTGTGTGTGTGTGTGTTTATCTTTGTTGTTGATGGTGAATTTTTTGTCATGGTAACCATTACCTTCTGAGCTATGGACCTCTGTCCCAGGATCCTGGAGCCATAAGTTGATGAGGTATCCTGTTGAGACACATGAGACCTGAATAGACCTGGGATTTCAGGAAGCAGTCTGCAGCCAAAGATATCCTTCAGCATCCTTCTCGGTGGCCTCTTTTCCTATGTTCATTCACTCCTGCACCCAGCTTGGTCTTCCATCATCTTGCTGCCTCCTGTCCTGAAGCCCCTGGCTGTCTAGTCTAAGCTCCCACTCCAGGGGATTCTCTCACAGCGCCCAACAACACACAGCAGAGTGGCCTTTTCCAGCCCCCTGGCATGCTAGCGTGTGACATTCTCTTTATCTTTCTATATGAAGAGCAGCTCTATACTTGTTCATACCACGGTACATTTGGAATAGGCTGGAAGGAAATTCCCCGGGCCTCTAACCACTTCTTCTCCCCACAGTTCCTATACAACCTGGCTTAGCCTTTCTACTTCCAATCTGCTTGAGTCAGTGCCAGATTTGGGGCTTGATATTCTGCATATGTGACCTGCTTCCTAGTCTCAGGTCTGCTTATAACTAACACACACACACACACACACACACACACACACCCTCCAAACTCTGGCTATGCTTAAAGAATCCTTCATTTGCAGGTATAAAAGTCGAGTATTCTGAGAGAAGGATGGGAGGGGTTATTTTATTTGGGTCAGTTACCTTTTCGTTTGATAAGCAATATCCAAGAGGCATGAAGATAATAGTCCCTGGTTGGAGAATCTCCCTTTTCTCACTCTTAACATTTCCCCTTTGAGTTGCCATCAGATACATACACTCTATCACTTCTGGAGTCCAACCTCACAGGCATGGGTTTGGAGGTAAGGTTCTACTGACTGTCACACTGGGTAGGCAGTGGGGACCAAAGAAGTGTCAAGTGAGCTGATGGGATTTTAAGAATAGTCCTGGAATTAGGGATGTGGAAAATATAAATATTTATCTTTCGTATGGATGGCCTTCCTGCTCTGAAGCCAGTTTTATGAGTAGCAAATTGATTTAACATCATTTTCTCTCAAGAAACTCTTTTTTATTCTCAAGTCACACCAGCCATAGTCACACAAAGGGGTCAATCCCCTACTTGTTTTTCTTATTGTGACTTGGAATTGTGATCCACTCCAGTACACCAGCCCACTACCCACTAGCCTTATTGGTGTATCGCAGCCTACGCATATATGTGGCCAGGGAGCGCTACGCTCCTTCCCTCTGGTTTCTGTCTTTCCCATGGTTTTCATGTGGCTGCTGCTGCTGCTGCTTCCTCTCAGCTCTGCCCCAGCTCCAGCCACCTTCCCTATCACCGGTGGTTGCTGCTTCAGCAGGGCTCTGATTCTAGGAGTTTCTCTGATAAGGCTCAGCTCCGCCAAGCAGAGTGGCCTTGTCCAGCCTCCCTGGCATGCTGATGTGTGACACTCTCTTTATCTTTCCATATGAGGAGAGGTCCTATACTTGTTCCTGCCACTGTGCATTTGGAATAGGCTGGAAGGAAATTTCCTGGGCCTCTAACCACTTCTGCCCACATTTCCTATACAACCTGGGTTGGCGTTTCTACTTCCAATCTGCTTGAGCCTGTGCCAAATTTTGAGCTTGCTTCTCTGTATATGTGACCTGCTTCCTAGTCTCATGCCTGCCTATACAGCACAAACACTGGATGTTTACACACCTCCACACCTCATCTATACTGGCATGGCTCCAGAAAGCACCGTGATCCTCCCAAGGTTGGCTAAGTGTTCTTTCCAAATCAAAATGGAAGGATATTTTTTGCCTCCTTAAGTGACAGGACTTTCTGTCAACCTTCGAGTGAAACATTCCTGTGATAATTCAGTTTCATAACTAGCTTGCTAGAGTTCTAGAGAAGCACCCCAACCTCTGAATAAGTTCGGGTTCAGGAAATAAGGCAAGATTGTTCAAGTGTTTGAGGTGTAACACTCTGTTCACCAACCCAAGTTTTCCTTTTCCTCTTTCTCAGGGAGTCTAGAGATCTCAGGAGTTGAAACTTTCCTTCATGGTCTTCTTGAAAACTGTGAGTGTCCACACATAACACGAAACTCCTGTTAGCAGCATTTTCATTCACAAGGAGACCCTTCGGGGCCCATATACATTTCTTTTTTCAGGCTAGCCTCAAAATTATTGTATTGTTTGAAAAAAAAAAAGAGACATCTGTGGCTTGAGAGGCAGGAATTGCTTCTTTTTAAAATGCTTTTTGGTACTAAGTTTTCTGCACTTAAAAAAAAGAATAAGATTAAAAGAACTCAGCAGATGTTTACTGTTAAACCTGAAAACATTTCTCAACCTCACTCACTTAATAATCTGTATAGTGAGAATCATGTTTTCTAATGCCCTGAAGTGTCTTAAAAATTTATCAGTTGGTTGTTGGTTAAATAAACACCCAGATGTGCTATTTTATAGATCACATGACAATCAAATATATCCCTTTTTATTCTCTGTATTCTGCATGGCTCCTCAGTCCCTGGCTTCCAGAGCTGAGCTTAAGTTCTTTGTCAAGCCAAGTTGACTATAGCAGACAGAGCTCTCATTCCCTCTTAGCTCAAAGGAATAAGTGACTGTTGTGGTTCGTCTATGGGAGACTGTGCTAGCAGAGCTTTACTCTCCTGGACCTGCTGCAGAATGAGATAGAAAGGGAAGTAGCTGTAGCCACAGAATCTGGGAAGGCAGTAGTTCCTGCTGATGCTCTTGGCTCAGTCAATAGAAAAACAAACATGAGGTTCAAATGGATGCTCATAAGTCTTTGTGGAAGCTGTAGAGGGCAAGAAAAAAGAAGGGGATAAGATCTGAGTAGAAAGAGGCTGAAAATGAATTCAAATTCATTAGCATTGCTGGTGGAGACTGTTAATGATTCAAAGTATTTATTTGGATCAGAGAGTCACGGGACTGTTAAATTGAGTGTTTATTTAGAAAAAAACAGAAAGAACTAACAGACTCTGCAGAAAGTATAAATTGGGCTTTGGCAGGAAACCAACTTCTTTTTGCCATCAGAGTGTCATGTGAGTCTCAGGAATGGCAAACATCTGTTTGAAGGATATCCTGACCTTGGATCAGCAGAAAACTCAGAAGAAACTGCATCAGGATTTGATGTGTAGTTGTCATTTAAGACAGCAAGCACTGTGGGCATCATTGTGGCCAGGTATTAATAATGGGCCAACTATTCAGTAAATATTCGCTGAATGTCTACTATGTGGCAGTTACTGCTATGTGCTGGGGATGCAACAGTTACTAGGACATACCTAAGGCCCAAATAATTTAGTGCTTCACATAAACACTGGGATAAAAGTTCATAGTGTGTTGTCATGAATATACTGTACACTTAACTGTGTTCTTTTCTTGTGTAGGTGGGCAATTACAATGGATGTGATATACACCAGTGGGAGAGGCTAAGCTTAGCCTACTATCTTGCTAGTTAGCCATATTTTTCTTGACCATTTACTTATTAAAATATTGGCAGATCCACTGAGGGTGGTTGTATTAAGATTAAAATTATGAAAATATCCTGAGATTCATGAGTGCAAGTTTGCTCTTGCAGACTTTGTGCCAGATGTTTTTCAAAATTATTATTATTATTCTTATTTTTGAGATGGAGTCTCGCTCTATCACCCAGGCTGGAGTGCAGTGGCGTGATCTTGGCTCACTGCAACCTCTACCTCCTGGATTCAAACAATTTCTCCTGCCTCAGCCTCCTGAGTAGCTGGGATTACAGGCACTGGCAACCATGTCTGGCTTTTTTGTATTTTTAGCAAAGACAGGGTTTTGCCATGTTGGCCACACTGGTTAGAATTTGTGTTTCTGATTTTATTTAGGTAAAATGGTAGATATATTATACATTATGTAATAACACTGGTGAGTGCCACAGCAATATCTTTTAATTAAGATATTAATATCTCTGCCATTAGATGGGTATGAAAATTGACACTAATTGTGATAAAGATAAGTTGCCTCATTATGCATTATGAAAAAGATTTAATTTTCAAGTCTTTTTAAAAATTTCAGAATTGTAGCTTGTAGTCCCAGCAACTTGGAAGGCTGAGATGGGAGGATCACTTGAGTCCCAGGAGTTCAAGAACAGCCTGGGTAACATAATGAGATTTTGTTTCAAAACAATATTTTTCCCGTAATTGTAGATAAGAAATGATGGACTTAGAGTGTTAGTGAAGAGTATACACTCTAATTCAAATAATTTGTTGCTTTACATAGACACTGGAATAACAGTTCATAAAATGTGTTGCCATGAATATAGTGTGCTTTTGCTGTGATTGTATCATCAGATTTACCTAGAAAACAATAGACTTTTCCTTACAAACACATTTAATTGGAGGAAAATCACTACCACCTTTTACTGAAGATCTTTTGCCATTCATGTTTGGGTTGTTTCCTGTGTTTCAAGACTGGTATTCCCTTGGGATAGCTCAGCAAGTTGACTTCTTGTGAACTGTAATGTGAAATGGGAAACAGAATACCACCAGAGCCACACTAAAGCTTCTGAATTGGAGCCAGGAGGTATTTTATTTGATGCGCTAAACAACATAAAGCCAACATCCTGGCCTATGACCCCAGTGGCATCAGCATCAACAGCTGGATGAAAGCAGGGGTGGGAAGGATACAAGGATGGGTTGGTGAATACAACCACTTGCCTTGGGTCTGCATTTGTGCATCCCAAACTTCTTCCCTGCTTTGTACTTTCTGCTCCCTCTACCTGGAACATACTTCCTTATGACTTTTGAAGAACAAGTTTCTTCTCATCATTTAAACATTGACTTTGATGACATCTCTGAGGGAGGCATTCCTTGACCACTTTATTTATTTATTTATTTGTTTATTTATTTGAGATGGAGCCTTACTCTGTCACCCAGGCTGGAGTGCAGTGGTGCAATCTTGGCTCACTGCAACCTCTGTCTCCTGGGTTCAAGTGATTCTTCTGTCTCAACCTTCTGAGTAACTGGGATTATAGGTGCTCACTACCATGCCCAGCTAATTTTTCCATTGTTTTTTACTAGAGACGGGGTTTCCCCATGTTACTGAGGCTGGTCTTGAACTCCTGACCTCAAGTGATCTGTCCACCTTGGCCTCCAGCATGCTAGGATGACAAACGTGAGCCACCCTGCCTGGCCAATCATCCTGTTTAATGTTGTCCACCTCCAGTCACTCTTTATAACATTACCTCAGTTTTATTTTCTTCAAGGCACTTCTACAAAATGCTCTTGTCATTTGTTTGCTTATTTACTTGTTTATTATTTTTCTCCTTCACAGAGCAAAGAACTTTCTGACTTGTCCACTGGATCCTTAGTCTCTAGAGCAGTACCTGGCACATTAAGGGACCAAATAAATATTTGTTGGATACATGAATGATCCTTGTGATATCACTAGTTTCCCTACTTTATAATGGCTGAACCCCTTTTGTAACAAATGTCCCAGAAGAAAATATATTGCAAATGTGGGAAACATGATGGGGCACAAAGTGGTAGAATATTACATTAGCTTCATGCACTGTGAATCATAAGTCATGATTCCATCTGTTCTGTGACAGAGTGAAAACAACAATATTTTCCCGAAGATAGAAACTATAAACAAAGATAAGCCACGAGTTCCAACTCATGGAACGCCTGCTACTATTATTTTGAATCATTTCCCCCGTCCACTATTCTTCAGCAACCATTTCAGTCATGCTGTGCCTTTCTGGAGTAGGCTCAGGAATCTAGTCATAATAGGCATTAGTTTCCACCAATCTAAACGTTTTTTTGCCCTATAACTTCATGCTTGACACAAAGAAGTCACTCAACATATATTTGTTGACTACAAGCTGTAAATTCCACTATTATAAGTTTATTCTTCTTAGTTTTTTTTTATGTAAAATAAAAATATCCTTTAGAAAAGATAACCTGCTATAAAGAAAGCCCATTCACTCACAATTTAGTATTAATCTCATTGAAAGATTTGATGGTGTAGAGAGTACAGAATAGTTTTTTAAACATGGATTATTACTTGGGCAGGAAAAGTCTGGGTGTGGCACAAGGTGTCCTGAGGAGTGATGGGATGTTAGGACATGAAGAGAAATGAAGAAGAGTGTCCAAGACAACTGGTTCATGTTGCAATTTTACTGAAGGTCAGCAAAGTGGGGAATGCTGTTCTGGGAGAACTGGATGCCTTCAGATTACAGTAAGTAAAGGCAAGAGATAACCAGGACATCCTTGGGTCAACCAAACCACTGTATTAGTATCTAGGGGAAGTTAGATTAAAATGAGCAACAGTACACAGATGACATTTCTGACAAGCTTCTTGAGAAACTCATAGCGGTGATTGCTCCTGGTGAACAAAAATGAAGGATGATAGGTTGGTAGTAGATCAGTAGTCTTATTTTCCTCTTCATAATTTTTTCTAGAGTTTTAATTTTGTTCCTATGAGAAAGTATTGATTTCACAATTATAAAATTCAAAAATTAGTAAAAATAATTCTTTTTTAGATTTTGCCATATTAAAATTCTAGCTCAATAAAAATAAATATCAAAACAAATACAACAAAATAGCACAGTGCTATGGTTTGAATATCCCCAAATTCGTTTTGAAACTAAATTGCCATTAGGATGGTATTGAGAGATGGAATCCTTGAGAGGTGACTGCGTCATGAGGGCTCTACTTTCACAAGTAGATTAGTACTGTTATTGTGAAAGGGGGTCCTGATAAAAGAATTAAGTTCAGCCCTCATTTTTCTGTCTTGTGAATCTCCATTTGGTGCTTTCCCCCATGTTATGACACAGCAAGAAGGCCCTCACAAGATGCAGACCCTTAATCTTGAACTTCCCAACCTCCAGAACCATGTCTCTTTTCTTTTTAAATTACCCAGTTTCTGTGGTATTCTGTTATAGCAGCAAAAAAATAGAACAAGATATAGGAAGGTGTCACAGCAAGGTTAAAATTCGTATATCATGATAGAAGAAAAACCACATTTGCAAGACACAATTATTCATGCAGTTTTTAAAATCTCTGTAGAACGTTGTTAAACCATTTCAAGACATAATAGCAGCACTAAAAGCAGACCCAGTAATGGTTCTAGAACACAGATCCTTTAAGCTTAACCTTCTCTGACATATGGACCCTACTCTACTCATTCCATTTTTCTTGTGACCCCCTTTCGTTTTTTCTCTCTCTCATTACCAGTTTAGACTGTTGCCCCTCTGAGTGTTTTGAATTCACATCCCTCAAGAGAATAACTGATTTGTCACTACATAGTATTCAGGGTAGGAATAATTTCCTGGCTTTCTTTATTCCCCTTGTACCTTTGCCATAAAATGCAATCAGCTGAGGGCATGTGTAAATGCAACTTTTTTCAAGCTAAAGTTCCTAACACACACCTCCTGCGCTTAAAAAATCCAAATACTAATTCCTCACATTTTGAGCACACTAAATAGATTTTCAAGCCCTCATATGCACTGCCTTAGTTCATCTCTGGCAGAGAAGGGCTCTCCTATTGTGATCTCCTTCTATAATAAAAGGGCTGTTTAAATCATAACTGCATGTAGGGAAACAAGGTTTGCACACAGATAGAAGGTATTATGGTCTATAGCTGTTGGGGAGTAAAAGGTTTTTCCAACTACTGTCTGCTTCTGGAACAGTGGACCTTGTTTGATCTAGAAGTCACTGAGCAAGCAGGGCACCATTGTTGTACCCAAGCATTAGTCAAATGCTTTCAATAACTGTGTCTTGTGTAAGAGAAGAATTGTGCAGAGTTGCAGTGATATTAGAGTTATATCAAAAAATTTTGAGGATTTTCTTCTTCATTTTCTGCTCCCACAGTTTAGAAAGGGAGAAGAATCTCATGTGTGAGAACTATTAGATGTGACTTTATTCAGAACAGAGTGGAAGACCACAGAGACTGAGCCATCTTCTGCTCCTGTGCTTTTGTTCAGTGTTTTCACAAGCCCCCTCCCAAGCCTGTCAGTCGTTTGTTTCTGAAAAACTCCTTGCAGGCAAACTTCTTGTAGGTTAAAAAACAAACAGAATTTACATGGAAATTAACAACACATACTTACTTTAAAAATTAACAGTGCATATGCATGTATGTAATTGAACCTTATCAGAGAGACCTATCTGTCCACCAAAAATACATTCTTCCCCCTCTAGGGAGGAAGCCTAAGCTCTGACATATAATAAAGGAGGGAAAGTGTCCTTGAGGGTCATTGTGCAGGCAAGAGGCTACATTTTTCAGCCTCTATGCCCCAAATGTGACCACATGACTGCTTCTTGCCGCAGAAGTGAGATAACATGAATCACTTTTGGGCTGGAACATCTGCATTGAACTGCTAAATGACAAGAAAATAACCCTTTATTTTGCAAAGCTACTGAAATTTGAGGCTTATTTATTTCTTAAACTGAGGGTCAGGAAACGTTTTCCGTAAACAGCCAGAGAGTAGATATTTTGGGCTTTGTAGGCCACATATAGTCTCTGTCTCATATTCTTTCTTCTTTTTGTAAAAACTACTCTTGACTCACATATTATGCAAAAACAGCTGCAGGCTTAACTAATTCAAATTTTTAATATAATAAAAGATAGCAAAAACCCCACACAATAAAAACAATGTAAATGGTGCATGAGATGTCACTACTATCAACTTAGCAACCCACGAGGACTCAGGGAGAAGACCCTTAGGCCACCTTGGCCCACCATTCCACACAGAAAATGACTGCACTGTGGCTCTCCCATTGTGGTGCTTAAGTGCTCCCAAGTCAGTACTATTTAAATTGGTTCTCAAAAATACAAGAATGCCTCCAAAGTTAAAGTTGAGGTAGTACATGAAACTAGTAGAAAGGTTAAAATTTTTACAGCCTTAATTGGAGTACCTCAGGGTATGACTGCTTTACTGCTTTCTCTTCCACTTTCTCTTTTTTTTTGAGACAGAGTTTCGCTCTTGTTGCCCAGGCTGGCATGCAGTGGCGTGATCTCGGCTCACAGCAAACTCTGCCTCCCAGGTTGAAGTGATTCTCCTGCCTCAGCCTCCCGAGTAGCTGGGATTACCGGCGTCTGTCACCACACCCAGCTAATTTTTGTATTTTTAATAGAGATTGGGTTTCACTGTGTTGGCCAGGCTGGTCTCAAATAACTGGGCCTCCTGAAGTGCTGGGATTACAAGTGTGAGCCACTGCACTGGCCATCTGTTTTGTCATCATACAAAACTGAGAGTTTCATACACTATTGCTACGCCTAGTTCAGTGCTAGATCCAACCAGAGTCTCCCAGCAGTGCATCAGCCTCCACCAGCAGATCTCAAAGCTCTGTGTGGTAAGACTCCAAGATGGCGTCTACATTTCCTCGGCCCCCACCCTCACACTGCTTCTCATGGTTGCCAGGACTCCCTTTGGTATGGGGGCGTTGTCAGGCCTGGAACCTTCCATTCTACCCAGACCCCTGCCTCAGTTGGCACAGAACCCAAAACCACACAAAACTTCCAGGAAAGTTACTGTCCAACAATAGAATGAATAAATAAATGATAGATTATTCTGCAGCAACAACAATGGCAATTTGGAAGGATTGAAACTAGTATGAGAAAAAGCTTATGACAGTATATTAAAGAGCAGAATTGCAAATTATATATTCAAAATGACTTTAATTGTATAAAAACAAAGACTTGAAGGAAGCACACTACAATGTGAACAGTGGTATTCCTGGGTAGTAGATTATGAGTGATTTAAAAAAAAATATTTTCTATGTTTTTTGAAAATATGTACAAATGACTTTCTTTCTCTCTCTCTCTCTCTCTCTCTCTCTCTCTCTCTCTGTGTGTGTAAATGACTAAGAAAATAAAAAGTAGTTCTTCCTACTAAGTCTTTGGAGAGCTCTGCTGTCCAGGGTGAGTTCCCAGCCTGAGTCCTTCCCTCTGTGGGCTGAGCTGGGTGAGGAACATAAGTCATCAAGTCTGTGTTCAGAACAGGAGCAGGACGGGGGAAAAGGAGGATAAATGGGAATCCAATTTAATAATAAGGTTTGAACCAGAGGGAGTGTGGAGACCCAGATCAACCTTGGTTTGGAGCGATCCATTTCTTCCCTGCCTGCAAGTATTCAACTTGTTTCAGATCCAGTGTCTCATCTCAGCATACGCCCTGCTGAGGCATGCCCAATCTTCACTCCTTAAGTCATGGCGCTGGAAACAAAGGAATCAAGAGAGGCTTTCAGAGTAAAGCTGTGCCCTCATCTCTCATTCTCACCCTTCCACATTGAGGGACAGGGCAAAAGCCCCCTCCACTCTGCTCCTGTGCCCCCACCCTCACATTCCTAATGCCTCTCATCTTTCTTGAGGGACCACTGTAGGGTTATTCTGTGTCTATCCCCACATAGCTCATCGTTTCATTTCTTTGTGCATGTGTACGCACATGTATGCAAGTGCTCCTGAAAACATTTTTGTAACACATGCTTAGGCATAGCCTTCATTCATTCTGCCAGTTAACAAATGTTAACTGCTTTGTGTAATTGCTGTACTTGGGAACAAGTGTGCTGGCTGAGGGAACTGTAAGTGCAAAGGCCCTGAGTTAGGAACAGGTTTGATTCTTGTCCTCCAGTTGTTCCCATTGTAGTGAAAGAGATAGATCAGTAAACAGGTAAATGCAATACTGTATGATAGACATTTGTCATTTACCATTTATAATCAACATTGACATTTAAAAATGTGTGTTACTTATTGTCTTGGTCCCCAATAGAATATAAGCTCCACGTTGGCAAAAGTTTTTGCATTTTTCTGTTCATTCAGTGTCTCTAGGACCTCAAAGAGCTACAGGCACATAGTAGATGCTCAATATTGTCTGAATGAAAGAAAAAAACCTACATTTATCTCTCTGCTCCCATTTTCCCTCCCTAGTGGCAACCAGTGTTATTAGGCCCCAGGAGGAGTGTATTATTTAAACAGACCACCATGCTTTCCACCAAGCTTTGACTTTGGGACTCCAGGTGAGTCTCTGGGTATCCACAGTTTGGGGGATTCTACTTGCTAGGAGGTGTAGAGTGCTGTCCACCAGCCATCATGTTGGCTGCGATTGGCTCTGGTCCTCTGAGCCTCATAAGGACCTTGGTACCCTTCTTGACTGGTACAAAGAAGGAATCAGGGAATGGCTAAACTCTGGAGACTGCATTCAGGCTTTGGTGGGGACTTGGCATTTAGGAAAATACACACCTCCTGGCACACATCATGAGGCTGTCTCCTTCAGCTCATGGCCTAATCTTGATAGGCAGGGGACCTGGGGGCAGATATTCTCTGTATGTGAATGTGTAAAACCTGAGCTACATGGAGCCCTCAGTGCCACAAATGATAGGAGTCTTTCCCTTTGTAGTGAACTTGATGTTTGACCCCTGAGCAGGACCCTGAGGAAGGACCAGACTGCAGTTCAGGGATCTGGTTTCCATCTCAGAAGAAATATCTTTTTCAGAAATACGCAAGTATTCACAGAGTATCTGGGGAGTCTAATTGAATTTCTCATCATTTCCTTTATAGATGAACAATTTTATACTTGGAGCAATTTACAATTTATAATTTACAAGTATTAAATAAATTAGTAATTACTAAATATCCATTATCCTTGATGGGTTAATTATAAACTATGGTCCAAATAGTTTAAAGTGCCCAAGACCACACAGTTATTAAGCCCTTAAAGAGCTACAGGTACATAGTAGATGCTCAATGTTGTTTAAATGGAAGAAAAAAACCCCACATTTATCTTCTCTGCTCCCATTTTCCCTCCCTAAAGGCAATCAGTGTTATTAGGCCATGGGAGGAGTGTGTTATTTAAACCAGACCACTATGGTCTCCACCAAGCTTTGACTTTGGGACTGCAGATGAGGCTCTGAGTATCTCATGATCTGAAAGATTCTACTTGCCAGGAGGTGTAGTCCACTTAACTAGTTTTAGAAAATTAGAGCAGAGCCAGGCGCGGTGGCTCATGCCTGTAATCCCAGCACTTTGGGAGGCTGAGGCAGGCGGATCACAAGGTCAGGGGTTTGAGACCAGCCTGACCAACATGGTAAAACCCCGTCTCTACTCAAAAATACAAAAATTAGCTGGGCGTGGTGGCATGCACCTGTAATCCCAGCTACTTGGGAGGCTGAGGCAGGAGAATCGCTTGAACCTGGGAGGCAGAGGTTGCGGTGAGCTGAGAGTGCACCATTGCACACTAGCCTGGGTGACAACAGAGCGAGACTCCGTCTCAAAAAACGAAAATTAGAGCAGAATTTCTTGCCTCCAAGCAAATCTCCCAAAAAGGCAGTTTTATTCTGATGCCTCCAAGTTCCCATTTATGTTTCATTCTGTTTCTGTAAATCCACTGGGTCAAATTACTACATTTTTGGATTCTGAGTATCTTCCGTAAAGCCTAACACATCATAGACTAAACAAATCTTTATTAATAAACAGAAGAGCCCGTGCACAGTGGCTCACTCCTATAATTGCTGTACTTTGGGATAAGGTGGGCAGATCACCTGAGATTAGGAGATTGAGACCACTCTGGCCAACAGGGCGAAACCCCGTCTCCACTTAAAAAAATACAAAAATTAGCCAGACATGGTGGTGTGTTCCTGTATTCCCAGCATCTTCGGAGGCTGAGGCAGGAGAATTGCTTGAATCTGGGAGGCGGAGGTTACAGTGTGTCAGGATCGTGCCACTGCATTCCAGCCTGGACAACAGAGTGAGACTCCATCTCAAAAATAGTAAAAATAAAAATAAAAATAAAAATAGAAGAAAAAAAATCTTAATTAGTCACAAAGACTTTTTTCCTTAAATTTCCAACTTGTAAGTTCAGGAGTGCATGTGCAGGATGTGCAGGTTTGTTACATAGGTAAACATGTGCCATGGTGGTTTGTAGTACAGATCATCTCAACATGTATGTCTTTTGAGAAGTGTCTTTTGAGAATACCCTTTTGCTCAAGTTTAAAGGGTATTTTTTCTTGTAAATTTGTTTTGCATTCCTCATAGGAGCTGGGTATTAGACCTCTGTCAGAAGCATAGATTGCAATAATTTTCTCCCATTCTGTAGGTTGTCTATTTATCCTGTTGATAGTTTCTTTTGCTGTGCAGAAGCTCTTTAGTTTAATATATCCCATTTGTTGATTTTTGCTTTCATTGCAATTGCTTTTGCATCCTCGTCATGAAATCTTTGCCTGTGCCTATGTCCTGAATGATATTGCCTAGATATCATTTTTCTTCTAGGGTTTTTATAATTTTGGGCTTTACATTTAAGTCTTTAACCCACCTTGAGTTAATTTTTGTGTATGGTATAAAGAAGGTTTCTAGTTTCAGTTTTCTGCATATGGCTAGAAGCTCTCCTAGCACCATTTACTAAATAGGGGAGCTCCTTTCCCCATTGCTTGTTTTGTCAAGTTTGTTTAAGATCAGATGGTTGCAGGTGTGCAATCTTATTTCTGAGGTTTTTTTTTTTTGATACAGTCTTGCTCTGTTGCTCAGGCTGGAGTACCGTGGCACGATTTCGGCTCACTGCAACTTCTGCCTCCCAGGTTCAAGTGATTCTTCTGTTTCAGCATCCTGAGTAGCTGGGATTATAGGCACCTGCCACCATGCCTAGCTAATTTTTGTATTTTTAGTAGAGACAGTATTTTACCATTTTGGCCAGGCTGGTCTCAAACTCCTGACCTCAAGTAATCTGCCCATCTTGGCTTCCCAATGTGCTGAGATTACAGGTGTGAGCCACTGAGGCTGAGTTTTTTTTTTTTTTTTTCTACTCTGTTCTATTGGTCTATGTGTCTGTTCTTGTACCAGTACCATGCTGTTTTGGTTACTGTATCCTTGTAGTACAGCGTGAAGTTGGGTAGCACGATGCCTCCAGCTTTATTATTTTTTGCTTAGGATTATCTTGGTTACTCAGGCTCCTTGTTGGTTCCTTATGAATTTTAAAAGGTTTTTCTAATTCTGTGAAGAATGTCAATGGTAGTTTAATGGGAATAGAATTGAATGTATAAATTACTTTGGGGAGTATGGCCATTTTCACAACATTGATTCTTCTATCAATGAGCATGGAATGCTTCTCCATTTGTTTGTGTCCTCTCTGATTTCTTTGAGCAGTGGTTTATAGTGCTTGAAGAGGCCCTTCGCTTCCCTTGTTAGCTGTATTCCTAGGTACTTTATTCTTTTTGTAGCAATTGTGAATGGGAGTTGATTCATGATTTGGCTCTCTGCTTGCCTGTTGTTGGTGTAAAGGAATGCTAGTCATTTTTGCACATTGATTTTCTATCCTAAGATTTTGCTGAAGTTGCTTATCAGCTTAAGAAGCTTTTGGGCTGAGACAATTGAGTTTTCTAGATATAGGATCATGTCATCAGCAAATAGGGATAGTTTGAGTTTCTCTCTTCCTATTAGGATGGACTTTGTTTCTTTATCTTGCCTGATTGCTCTGGCCAGAACTTCCAATATTATGTTGAATAGGAATGGTGAGGGTATCTTTCTTTTGTGCCAGATTTCAAGGGTAATGCTTCCAGCTTTTACCCATTCAGTAGGATATTTGCTGTGGGTTTGTCATATATAGCTCTTAATATTTTGAGGTATAGGTATGTTTCTTCAATACCTTGTTTATTGAGAATTTTTAACATTAATGGATGTTGAATTTTATCGAAAGCTTTTTTTGCATCTATTAAGATAATTATGGGGTTTTTGTCTTTAGTTCTGTTTATTTGACGAATCACATTTATTGGTTTGCATATGTTGAACCAACCCTATATCCTGGGGATGAAGCCAACTTGATTGTGGTGAGTAAGCTTTTTGATGTGCTGCTGGAATTGGTTTGCCAGTATTTTATTGATGATTTTTGCATAGATATTCATCAAGGATATTGGCCTGAAGTTTTGTTTTTTTGTTGTATCTCTGCCAGGTTTTGGTATCAAGATGATGCTGGCCTCATAGAGTGAGTTAAGGAGGAGTCTCTTTTTTTCAATTTTTGGGAATAGTTTCAGCAGAAATGGTACCAGCTCTTCCTTGTACCTCTGGTAGAATTCAGCTGTGAATCTGTCTGGTCCTGGGCTTTTTTTAAATTGACAGGCTATTTATTACTGTCTCAATTTCAGAACTCATTACTGATCTATCCAGTGATTCAATTTCTTCCTGGTTCAGTCTTGGGAGGGTGTATGTGTCCAAGAATGTGTCCGTTTCTTCTAGATTTTCTAGTTTATATGCATATAGGTGTTTCTAGTATTCTCTGATAGTTGTTTGTATTTCTGTGAGGTCAATGGTGATATCCCCCTTATCATTTCTGATTGTGTTTATTTGATTCTTCTCTTTTCTTCTTTATTAGTCTAACTAGTGGTCTATCTATTTTATTAATTTATTCCAAAAATCAGCTCCTGGATTTGTTGATTTCTTTGATTGGTTTTTTGTGCCTCTATCTCCTTCAGTTCAGCTCTGATCTTGGTTATTTCTTGTCTTCTGCTAGTGTTGGGGTTTGTTTGCTCTTGGTTCCCTAGTTCTTTTAGTTGTGTTGTTAGGTTGTTGATTTGAGATCTTTCTAGGTTTCTATAACTCTAAATGTAAGCATTTAGGATTATAAATTTGCCTCTTAACCCTTGCTCTAGCAGCATTCCAGAGATTCTGGTATGCTGTTTGTTTGTTCTCATTAGTTTCAAATAACTTCTTGACTTCTGCCTTAATTTCATGATTTACTCAGGAGTCATTGAGGGCCAGGTGGTTTAATTTCCATGTAGTTGTGTGGTTTTGAGTGAATTTCTTAATCTTGAGTTCTAATTTGGTTGTGCTGTCTGAGAGACTGTTATGATTTCAGTTCTTTTGCATTTGCTCAGGAGTGTTTTACTTCCAATTAGATGATCAATTATAGAGTAAGTGCCATGTGGTAATGAGAAGAATGTATATTCTGTTGTTTTGGGGTGCAGAGTTCTGTAGATATCTATCAGGTCCACTTCATCCAGAGCTGAGTGTAGGTCCTGAATATCTTTGTTAGTTTTCTGTCTCAATGATCTGTTTAATATTGTCAGTGCTGTGTTTAAGTCTCCCACTGTTATTCTGTGGGAGTCTAGGTCTCTGTAAATCTCTAAGAACTTGCTTTGTGAATATGGGTGCTCCCGTACTGGGTTCATATATATTTAAGATAGTTAAGTCTTCTTGTTGAATTGAACCCTTTAACATTATGTGATGCTCTTCTTTGTCTTTTTTGATCTTTGTTGGTTTAAAGTCTGTTTTGTCAGACACCAGGATTACAACCCTTGCTTTTTTCTTTTTTCCATTTGCTTGGTAAATTTTCCTCCGTCCCTTTATTTTGAGCCCAAGTATGTCTTTGCATTGTACGATAGGTCTCTTAAAGCAGTATACCTATGGGTCTTAACTATCCAGCTTGCCATTCTGTGTCTTTTAACTGGGGTATTTAGCTCATTTATGTTTAAAGTTAGTATCATTATGTGAAGTTGATCCTGTCATCATGATGCTAGCTGGTTGGTTAACTTTGCAGAGTTATTTATGTGGTCGCTTCACAGCATCACTGGTCTGTGCACTTCAGTGTGTTTTCTGTTAATTCAGTTGTCTCAGCCTGAGCCCAATTTAATGCCTTTGCTGGCAAGGTGTTGCAGTCATTTGGAAGAAAAAAGACACTCTGGCTTTTTGAGTTTTCAGTGTTTTTGTGTTGATTCTTTCTCATCTTTGTTGACTTATCCAGCTTAGATCTTTGAGGTTGCTGACCTTTGAATGAAGTATTTTTGGGGTCTTTTTTTGTTGATGTTGTTTTCTGTTTGTTTTTCTTTTTCAGCAGGCCATTCTGCTGTAGGGCTGCTGCAGTTTGCTGGGGGTCTGCTCCAGACTCTAGTTGCCTTGGTTTTTCCAGTACCTAGAGGTTTCACCAGTGAAGCCTGCAGAAATGCAAAGATGGTAGCCAGCTTCTTCCTCAGGAAGCTTTATCCCAGGGAGGTACTCACATGTTGCTGGCCTGAATGCACCTGTAGGAGGTGTCCCCTGTTGGGAGGTCTCACCCAGTTAGGAGGAATAGTATCCGGGATCCCCTTAAAGAATCAGTCTTGCTGCTTTTTGGTAGAGCAGATGTGCTGCATTGGGGGTGAACCCTTCCTTATCCAGACTGTTTGTATTCTCCAAAGCCTGCAGGCTGGAATGGCTGAGTTGATCAAATTGCAGAGATGGCGGCAGCCCCTTCCCTGGGAGCTCCATCCCAGGGAGAGATCAGTGCTTTTTCCATAGACCCTGGTGGGAGTGGCTGAAGCCCCTGCAGGGAGGTCCCACCCAGTGAGGAGGAATGGATTGAGGTCCCACTTAAAGAAGCAGTCTGGCCATGATCTGGCAAGGTGTGTTGTGTTGTGGGGGACCCTTCCTTCTCTGGACCATTCGTATTCTCCAGAGCCAGCAGGCTGGAATGGCTGAGTCTTTTGAACTGCAGAGATGGTTGCCACCTATTCTTCTGGGAACTTGGACCTGTCTCACGCAGATTCCAGCCTGTTGCTGTTGGCTGGCTGGAATTCCAAACCAGTGGGTCTTAATCTGTGAGGCTCTATGGAAGTGGGGCTTGCAAAATGACGCTGCTTCACTCCCTGGATTCAGTTGTCCTTCCTAGGGATATGTATGTAGGATTTCCCACCTTGCTGGGTGTCCTGGGACTGGGAATATAAAACTCATAGGTCTCTGTGTGTGCCTGAGAAGATGCTCTGCTGAGGTGCCACACAGTTCTGTGTATGCCTGAGCAGATGCTCTGCTGAGACGCCACATAGCTCTGTATATTGGACACAAGGCCCTGGTGCTGTGGTCTCATGTGAGGATCTCCTGATCTGTGGGTTACAAAGACCCATGAAAGAGTGTGGTTTCCTGGGTTGGTTTGCACAATCACTTTCTGCTTCCCTTGGCTGGGAGTGAGGGTTTCTTTGGCTCCATGACACTCCCGGGGAGGGGGGGGAGGCATGGCCCACCCTCCTGACTTTTCTTCATTCTTCATGGGTTAAGTTGTTTGTCTAGTAAATCCCAATGTGAGAACCTGGATATCTGAGTTGAAGGTGCTGGATTTATTTAATCCTTTTCATTCTTTTCCATGAGTAAAGGTTTCTAATAGTTTGTTTATTTTCCTGTTGGATGCTGTTGCTTTGAATTTGTCTAGATCTAATG